AAAAGGGGAGTTTTTGCTTAGAGGGCAGTGAGTTGATGTTAATGGTGCTGGAATGATTTGGAAGAGGACAGCGACCATGGCCGCACAACTTGAAGAATGTAATCAATGTCACTAAGTGTACATGTGGAAATTGTTGAGACGGCATTACGTGTTGTTAGGTGTATTTTCACCACAATAAAATTTTAAAAAATTGTTTTAAATCTGATGTAGAAGACAACTGTTTATACGCTTTCAATGTTCATAAATTAGAGAGTAAAAATTATAGCAACAAAAAAGTCTGCTGTAGTAGAGAAAAACTGGTAAAGCACAATACAACTCATATTGTATCTAAAAAAACTTTACAAAACCATGCTACTTAAAACTGAAATAATATAATGCAATTTATTTAAGGAGAACAAATTACACATGATTTGTATAAAAAGTCAGTCTCCCATTCAAAGAAGAAAAAAGTAACATCAACACCCGGGATTCTAACTTGTAGAGTTAGGCTGTGTTTCTGACTAAGGTGAAGGAGATAGACCTCATGACATTGTCAGATGCTCTGTAGGCCCCATAAAATCAAACTAACGAATGCTTAGTTCAAATCCTAGCTCCTTGATAACCAAAAAAGCAGTTTAGCATAATAGTTATTTAACTGTTCAAGGAAAAATGAGATATTTACCTTCCAATAGATTATTAAATTTCTCCCATCAGAACTCCACTCTCTCCAAGTATCTGGTCCCTTTGAAGGAACTAAGAAGGAGATTTCAAAGTTAGTATTTGAAGATGATTACCACAGATCCACTGATGATATCAGTAACTGAGATGATGGTACCTGAAATATTTTTCTAGGTACCTAGAATTCTCAATAAAACTGGGAAGCAACTCAGTGGCTTCCACTTAAAAAATTAGGCAAATGGAAGAGCTAAGCTCTCAATCTCTGGAAAATACAAGACTCTTAGAACAGGATAAAATCACCCTCAAGGCCCTGCACGTCATCGGTCCTCGGGGACCTCTCTGTCTCATGTCATCCAATCTCCCCATTACTCAAGTCTGCTCTCGCCACACACTGGCTTCCTGCTGTTCCTCAGACATGCCAAGGACAGCTGCCTCAGACTCTCTGCATTTTCTGTGTCTCTGCCAAGAACCCTATTCCCCTAGATAAACCATGTGGCTTGCTTCCTTACCTCCTTTATATCTCAGCTCAAACGTCACCTTATCAGCGAGGTCTTTCCTAACCACCATATTATAAACTGCAATTCCCTTCACCTCCCTCCTCACTTGGCCATCACTCCCTAGCCACCCATCTAGGTTTTATTTTTCTCTGTGGTACTCATCATCACCTGGCAATATAATTGTGTGTGTGTTTGAAATTTATTTCTTATTCTCTCTGCTATAAACTCCATGGGCAGAGCTCTGTTTTATTCACTGCTATATCCCTGGTGACTAGAACAATTCCTGACACATAACGTGTGCTCAATAAATATTTATTAGCTGAGTCAATGTCTTCCTCTTAATGAGGTTTAAACGTAAATAAGATGTTTCATCTTGGCAAAAGCAGCTCATTAGCTGAAGGCAAAAGCTCCTGTGGTAGCCAGTCTCCAAAACGGCCAATGACCCCCACGCCTCCTGTTACTCATGCCCTGGGTAGTCCCCTCCCACCAAAGGCGCATCTACGGAAACAGTGTCTAATTCATTTTAAATTGCTGAATGATCTCTCACAGCTGGTGATGGAAACGGCCATGGCGAATAGAAACTGCTTCTTGGCATGCACGCAGGCCACCACGCAGCCACCGCCGCCTTCAGGACACCCCATCTCCCCAAGTGGCACCCAGGGCACGTGCCATACCTGCCATACCCTAGATATGCCTCTGTCTCCCACACTGTATCAGGGCTGGCCTGTGTGACCAACAAGATGTGGCAGATGTGATGGTGTGTCACTTCTGAGGCTAGGTCGTAAAAGACACTCTGGCATCTACCTGCATTCTCTTCACTCGTTCACTCTGGAAGGCGCAAGCTGCCACGTTGTGAGGACTCACATAGTCCTATGGAGAAGCCTGCATGGTGAGGGACTGAAGCCTCCTGCCAACAGCCATGGGAGTGCGCCATCTTGACAGTGGATCCTCTAGCCCCAGTGAAGCCTACAACCCCCACCCACATGCTGACTGCAATCACGAGAGACCCAGAGCCAGAGCCACTCAGCTAAGCTGCTCCTGAATTTCTGGCCCACAGAAACTGTGAGATGATAAACTTTTGCTGTTTAAGACAATGAATTTTGCGGTAACTTGTTATGTATCAATAGTAACTGATACATTTCCTCTCTAGACTCATGTTTAGAATTCATTTTTGAGGATCCAAAGAATTCTTACACGTATTACAAAGGTTCCCCAACATCTATTTTCATGGGAAGAGGCAAAATCTGAATTAACCTCTATCATTTTTTGCTTTACTACTTAATTTTTTTGGAAGAAATTCTCATATCCCCTATATTACATAATGCAAACAAAGCTTCTGCTACCTTTTGTTGGATGATTTCTGCAAATTATACCTATATCTAAGTTTTGCTTTTTTGTCTTGTTTTAAAGCTGATATCTGGCTAGTCAAGGATAGAATCCCATTCCGTCTTTGGAAATTAACATACCTGGAAATCTAGTTACCTAATTTTATACCTATGTTAGCCTAGGTATACTATAGAAAGTGATCTTGAAGATCTTTTAGTCCCATCCATGTCTCAGGCTTAGGTCCCAAATACAAATCCTAATGAGTTTTCTTTATTAAAAACTGTTTTCAATTAAAAGGCAATCTAAACACAGTATTAAAATTCCAGTGAAAGGAAGAAAGAATGGGAGAAAAATCACCCCATAATCTTAACACAGTTTCAAGTTTGATTTCCTATGAGTTGTTTTAATACAGGTGCAACCATACTGTAGCTAGAGTAACCTTACCGTTTCACATAACATGTTATGCATTATTCCATAACTTTTAAAACCATCACTTAAAATGTCTGTATAATATCTTATTAACAGGTATTACACAATTTATCTAACCATTCTCCTCCTCTTAGGCACTTTGGTGACACTTTCCCGAAAAAAAAAAAAAAAACCTGTGAAACTTCTAGATGCACAATTATCATTAGCCATAAAATCACTTGGTAAACTTACTAGCTTCTGTGGTTAGATGCTGTTTTTCAATAGTCCAACTGCTCCATTTCCAGAATGTTTCAGTAGAACAACGAATCCGAAAAGTATAATTAGTATATGGACTTAACTTGCCCACAGTTATGAGATAACTTGAATTTTCTAGTCCTTTGACTGTGACATTCTGCTGTTAGAAAACAAATCAATCAGTATGTATGTGTATGTATACTATGTATAATATTGTATGAACACATCTGGATACAAACACATTTTTTAAAGGAAAGCCTCCCAAATACGTAACATAAATCCACTGAAAGTCCACGAGTTTGAATATATAACACTGAAAGCAGTTCATCCACTATAATATTTTAATTCTTATATACATGCCAAGTCAGTCAAATTATGCTGTGTAATAGCAATAAACAAAATTAGGATTCTTTTTAATCCAAAAAGTGGATCTAAGTAATACTGGCCAATTAAATTATGCAGAGATGATCATAAATTTTGTTTTAGAACTTCTGAATCATCAGTCAGTGGCTAATGGCGATGCAATAAACCTTAACATAATTTAGTAATATGAGATGACCTTGAAGATTAAATAGATTATTGATATGATACTTGAATAAAGCTTCTTTGAGGCAGGCATCATCTTTTATGCATCTTTTTACATGTCACTTAGAATCTCTAGGATGCGCTAAACATGAAGCAGTCAATAAGCACTTTATTTAAATAAAATAAAAATGAAGCAACTCTAAGTAAACTTGAGGATTTATATGTTTTAGGAAAGGCTCTGAGCTCCTAATTACTTCTTGCAAAGAAGCTTTTTGAGTTACATTTTGCAGTTTTGAGTAACTTCCTAGAAATCATCAGTACATTTCCAGATGAATATTCAATAGCAGTATCATTTATTTTGGACCTACTATAAATTATAAGATGGTGCAGTATAAAGTCAACCTAAATAACTGAAATGTATTAAAAAGCCACATTTTGACTTATAATTACCAATTATAATTTGCTCCTATTGCTGCACTCTGAAATTTTAAAGATCATTTCTACTCGCTGGTGCCAGTTAGTTCATTAACTGCTGCTAAAGGTTACAGCAAAAACTACTTATTCATTCACAAATGTACTAAATACTAGCTACGTGCCAGGTACTATACTAGACCTATTAACATTGTGCTTATTAAAAGTCAAACTTATGTTCTATAATATTCAGTCTTATAACGGTTTTCAAACACTAAATATAATGCTGTTATTACGTTGATATATAATGTCTGTTCTTAGTAAATCATTACAATAAATAGATTTCATACACATCAATTACTTGATCCTTTCTGAAAACTCAGTGTTCTATCCAAAATAACCCAAAGCAAATGTATAGAAGAATCATACTCACCAGTTCTTGTACTGAATTACTTTTAGTAATTTCAATTTGACATAAAAGATTAATCTTTGCAAAGCTGCCTGGTAAGTGCCAAGAAAGTGTAACAGCTGTTGAATTAATATCCTTCACTTTGAACGAAGTAGGAGTGTGGGGATAAACTGTAAATATAATTTTAAAAATTACTTAAAAATTTATTTAAAGGTGACAAGCTGTCTTCTAAAGGCAAAACAGAATAGAAGAAAACACAAATCAAGAAAGCTATCATCAGTTCTTATCGACAACATTCTCCTCAGTATTTGTGGAACAGGAGCTCTGGTGAACAAATGGTTAAGCTCTTGGCTGCTAACTGAAAGGTTGGCGGTTTGAACCCATCCAGCAGCTAAGTGGGAGAAAGACTTGGCAATGTACTTCCGTAAAGATTACAGCTAAGAAAACGCTATGGGGCAGTCCTACTCTGTCAGACAGTGTTGCCATGAGTCAAAATCGACTTGCTGGCACCTAACAACGTTTGGGCAATCCACAAACCTCACGTTTACTGCAAACATCATGCCAACATTTTTTTTCAAGAACCAACAATACTCAAGGTTCTTCACTGGCATTGGGAATATTAAAAGGTAGGTAAGATCAGAGTCTCTACCTTTAAGAAACTTCTAATCCATTTGGAGAATGACAAACAAAAACGAACAAGCATGAACAGCATTACTCATGCTAAGGACTAAATCAGCGGTACAGATACTCACTGTTACAGGAATTTGAATGTGAGTGTAGGAGGGAAGGTCTCAGTCAAGATGGGACTTAAAATGAGCTTCGAAGGAAGAATCAGACTAAAATAGGCAAAATGGGTGCAGAAAAGCATTTTAGGTGAGGTCTTAGCAAGAACAAAGCACAATGAAGCAAACTGCACATTACGGTGGTGACAGTGCTTATGCCAATTTGAGTGGTGGGAAAGAATCAGATGGGGAAATAAGGTTGTGAGGACAGAGAGATACATACAAATACTACCACTCAAATACAGAACGTAGCCCTTCTGACCTTGGGAAAAATCAATAAAGATGGCTGCAAGGAAGAATTGTAAAAGTGACTGATATTTTTTTAAAACACAACAGGACTACCTACTAATCACTTGTTGTTAGGTGCCGTCGGGTCGACTTTGACTCACAGTGACCCCATGTGACAGAGCAGAGCTGCCCCATAAGGTTGTCTTGACTATAATCTTTATGGAGGCAGACTGCCAGGTCTTTCTCCCATGGAGGCGCTGTGTGGGTTCAGACAGCAGCTGAGCTCTTAACTGTACTGCCCTTTCCCCTCAACTGTTCTTCTCCAAGGGATGGCCTCTATGCTACTTCTTTCTGTACAGAGCCTAGCACAGAGTTAATGTGCATGGAACGACTGTAAGAATTAATGGAAAAGAGACTGACCACATTTTATTTGTATTCTGGGCTACACGTTAATAAGCTTGGTAAAAATTCACGAATCCGCAGCAATAAAAAGGAACAAATTATTGTACATGCAACAACTCAGATGCATCTCAAAGATATTATTCTTAATAAAAAATGCCAATCTCAAAAGGTTACATACTGTATATGCCTCTATATAATATTCCCAAACTGACAAGGAACAGATTAGTGGTCTTCAAGGGACAGGGACAAGAGTGTGTATGTGTGTGTGTGTGTGAGGGGGGTGCTAAAAAGGTAGCAGAGAAAGTTTTCTGTGGTGATGAAACAGTTCTATATCTTCATGGTGGTGGTGGTTATGGGAATCTACACGAGATCAAACTGCACAATTTGATCTATAAAGAAAAGAAAAACCCACTGCTATTGAGTCAATTCCAACTCATAGCAACCCTACAGGACAGTGTAGAACTGCCCCATAGGGCTTCCAAGGCTGTAAATCTTTACAGAAGCAGACTGCCACATCTTTCTCCTGTGGAGCTACTGGTGGGTTCAAACCACCAACCTTTTGATTCGTAGCCGAGCACTTCACCACTGCACCACCAGACTGCATAAAACTATAGACACATATGTGCATATACAAATATAAATGAAGGCATGTGAAAACTGAGTAAGGTCAGTAGTACAGTTAACAGCACTGTACCACTATCAATTTCTTGGTTTTGACATTGTACTACAGTTATATAAGGTGTCACCACTGGGGAAAGCTGGGTGAAGGGTTCATGGGACTCTAATGCACCATTTTTGCGACCACCACTGAGTCTACAATTATTTCAAAATAAAAAGTTTTTAAAAACTGGACAAAATTTTTTTTTCAGAACCTATTAGAGCCATTTGTGGTTTCTATAAAAATGCCTAATTCATATTTTTACTTTAAATGATGAAAACTGAAATTATACATTTTAAAACTTTTAAAATAAAATTTACAGTTAATAACTATAAAGGAAACAGTCAAAAGTAATTCCTAAAAGCACTTTTCATTAATATCAAGATGTTTTGCCACCTCTAAAGTTATTTTTAAGACAACGGTTTATGAGGCAGCTTACCTCTTTCAGTTATGTTGACTAAAACTGTTGATTCTGACTGACCCAAAGGATTGTGAGCTTTCAAAGTAAAATTATATATTTCCCGATTTGGAATCATTTGAAAGAATAACTGATAGTTTACATTTGTGGTGTCTTCAGCTCTTTTAACATTTTGTCCTGAAAAACTGAATTAAAAGAGCAAGAAAAAATGTTAAATTCAAAATGGCAAGAGATAAATATTGTAGGAAAAAAATTTCTAGTAATTTTTTTTAAGTTCATACTTCTAATTATAGACATACTACATAGTCATAGAAGAAGACGTTTAAGAGACAGGAAGCAAGCAGAAGAAAATAAAAATGACCCACAGGCCCACTGTCCAGAAACAGTCTGTTTATATTTGAGGGTTCTTCCTTCCAAGCTCTTAAAAAAAGAAGGAAAGAAATCGAGGCCAGAAAACGTATTTAAATCACAGCACTGATAGTTACACAATTTTACACAGCATGCTTGGTTGTATATCTTACTCATAATATAAATGAAATAAAGAATTTTTCTACATCATTTAACATCTTTCCAATGTACACCTCACCATTTAAGTTTTACAGTCTTTCACAATTACCCTTACTTTTCAAATAAAGTATAATTTGTATCATGTGGGCCCAACAATCCTGTAGGTCTTCCTGGGTTCCAAGTGCATATAATCTCCTTTAAATCACGTGTTTCACAATTTAGTTTCTGAGGAATATCAGGTGGATCTAATGGGAAAAAAAGAAAAAAAATGCAGTTACCTATGATTATATATATTTTCCCTGAAGACATAATATTTTATAAATGTTAGTCACATTTTGCACAATTTCCTTAAAAAGGAAATAATTTATTGTTTATATTTTGCTTTTGAACAATACAGGAATTATCATTCTTTCTATAGCATGTTTTGTCAGAGTTCATATTACAATAAAACGATGGGTAAAAATACACTAAACAGTGACTTTTAGCTTGTTTGGAAACTCCCCAATAGCAACCTGAAGAGAGCAACTATTATTTTTTCCCTGGAATCCTATTTCAGAGTTGACCAAATCTCTCAAACAAACCTGTGTCTAACAAGTTAATTCAGAAAAATTTAAAGTTTAAAAGTATTAACATCTATCATCTATATATTGTAATATGAAAAGAAATACTAAATCATATTAAAAGCCAATATAAGTCATGTTTCAAATTTCAAAGTTCTTATATAAGTTATAAGGACTATTATTTACAAAGTAAAACTGCTGGTAAAATTCTGCATCACCATATATTCAAATTGCCTGCTTCTCTTTTGTTGTTTTTGCTTTTTACTGAAACAGTTCTCCCTGGCTTTGTAAGGCAGGGCTGCAAAAAGAAAAAAGGTTTTTTTTTTTGTGAGACCTTTAAAGTGGTACATGCGTGTACTGCAGTGTCACACTGCTGATTGCAGAAACTGCTACTTCTGTAATCATGCTGAACGAAGCAGCACAGAAACTGATTGACCTAGAGTTCATATTTACCCAAATGATCATTCATGAAAAGGTAAAAGGTTTCGTTTTTCTTTTTAATAATATACTTGTTGAAACGTTCCGTAAAGTAATTTTAGTATTTTAAAAAGTGCATTTTTAAAGCCATCCTTAGTTTAACAACCAAGACTTAGAAAACTTCACATACTTCCCCCAGAGATAAGAGCAGCATCTTTCAATGACATTTTAGATATTAAGAGGAGTAATGGACACTTTATATGAAAGTTTAACAATCTGACAAACTATCATACTTATTTTGAAAATTACTTTAAATCTAAGGCCAAACTTTCAGCCAACTTTACTAAAAACACACACCAAATAATCTGAATGATTTAAACTGCTGAATATTTTAGGATAGCGGCAGAAATACAAGATGAAATACTTAAAATTCAAATAACAAAAGTAAGCTAGAAAGAAGTGAAAGGGAAGACAGAAGGGAAAAATAAGAAAGGACAGTATTTGAAATGTAATGTATTGATATTCTTGTCAAAGACATTAACTTATAAAACAATCAACTGAAGCTAAATATAAGGTCAATATAAAAAAATCAATTGTATCTCTATATACCAGCAAATAGAAAATGAAATTTAAAAAACAAAGCCATTTTCAACAGCACCAGAAAATATCAAATACCTAGGAGTAAACTTACCAAAAGATAGACAAGACCTTCTATCACTGAGATACACCAAAGACCTAAATAAATGGAGGCATATACCATGTTCACGGTTTAGAAGACTCAATATTATAAAAATGAATATTCTCCAAAACTGATTTATAGACTTCATGTAATCCCAATCAAAATTCCAGCAGGTTTTGATTGTGTGTGTGTGTGCGCTTAGGGAGAAACTGACAAACTGATTCTAAAATTCTTTTCAGTCTTTTCAATAAACAGTGAGTTACAAGGATATCTATATGGGAAAGAAAATGAATTTTGACCCATACCTCACACCATAACCTACTCTTGTAAGTTTCTTAAAAAGCTTCCTCTAAAAGGGAATGCTACTGCTGCTCCTGAGTTGAGAAATAATGAACAATACTTCAACCTTCAAACATTATAAATAAAGGTTAAATTATGAACTAAACAGGTTTTTGTTCTATGATAAAAAATTAGAATATGCTTGGAAAGAATAGAAATGGAAACAGCACATATTCTCATCTTCTACATTTTAATTTTTTTCTTTCATACTTTTAAATGGACACCTCATTTTTTGGTACCTCCAGCAGTCACCACAAAAGGAGGAGACAGAAAACTATAAAATTTAGATCTAAAAACTCTAAATAATGTGTGGACATTCAACACAAGTCATGCAAATAGGGCAGGCCACCATAAAAACCTTTGGAAATGTCACGGAATGTTAAAGCTTTAGAAGTGTTCATGTTAACAAAGATGCCCAACTTACGAGTAAGTACACATCATACACAGAATACAGTAAGACTAAGTCTTCCTCTCGCCCTTGTCCTCCAGCCACCCTCTTCTCAAACATATTATTTAAAAGTTGAAGAAGCATATATTATGCTACTGAAACATTTTGTGTAAAAATATTACAATTTCTTTAATTCAGAAACTTAAAAAGGTGTATTTTAGCCGAGGGGTAAATTAATTTATATAAAATAACTCCTAATCTAACAATTCAGGATTAAGAAATGTTATATACCAATGACTCTTGACTCAACAAAGCTGTTAACTTAAATGAAAAATCAGCAGCTAGATGTTCCAAATCTTGTTATAAAACCTATAAAGAACAAAGACGTAAGGAAGAAACAAAATCACTCCTCAGAAAAAGAATTAAGGCTTTCAGGAGGACCCAAAACATCAGGAAATCTCTCTTCCATATTGTATACTTACATCCTGCAAAAATAACTGTTCCAACCATGTTGGTGTCTGTTGTGAAAACCACATTTGTTCCACTAGTTGGAGAAACAGAAACATTATAGATCTTGATTGCAACATTTTCTCCATCAAGATGGATAAGGGAACACATTTCTTTGCCAAACTGTGCTGATATGACTTTTTCTTGAATTATACAACAAACTGTTATATCTGAGCCTACAAGTATCACTTTGTCTTTAGGAATAACCTTAGGTTGATAATCAGGCGACCCTAGAAGGAACACAAGGAATTATAAATACTTTAGAAATCTTTTCCCATAATAGGCTTATTTTGAAAAAAAAAAAAAAAAAGATTGTTTTTATAATAGTTGTTGCGTGCTGTCGCGTCAATTCTGACTCACAGTGACCCTACAGGACAAAGCAGAACCGCCCCCTCAAAGGGTTTCCAAGGTGTGGCTGGTCAATTTGAACTGCCGACCTTTTGGTCAGCAGTCTGAGCTCTTAACCATTTTGCCACCAGAGCTCCTTATAATAGTTAGCCCACTATATATCTTGTTAGGTGCTTTGTAAGAGTGGTAGCCTAAAGATAAGGTATGCCCCTCAAAACAAAAAATTCTTTAAATATAAAGCTCACAAGAAATGTTCTTCACTGGGCTCCAGTCACTCCACTCTTTGTGACCAGAGAAATGAAGATCATCAACGTAGCACCTCATTCTCACAAAATGAGTGACACATTCCAAGGGCATGTCTGAGGTCCAACTCCATTGATGAACTGTATCTTTACCATTCAGAGTTGTGTTGTGGGTCATCTAAAAATGAACACAAACATAAAATTAGAGTTCTAAACAGTGATATGCCCTTCTTTCCTTTAGGATTAAAAAACATAATAGACTGTACATAATCACCAGATAGTTGTAAAACTATCTTAGTTTTCTGTAAGGCATAACAGAAGAGTTACAGTAAAAATAACCATGATTCATTCGTTTACTTCTTCACCTTTAAGCCCTAGCACATCATCATACAAGATGTTAATATGCCAAAATATTCAATCAGTACACAAGAAAATATACCATTGCCTAAATGATCTCTATTTCTCAAGGAGAGAAAATAATTAACGGGCTAAATCTCTAAAACATAAAATCAAAGGGAAGAATGGTAGTTCAAAAAAAAACAAATTATTGTTTTAGATTAAATTTTCTGTACAGGCATTATATATTTTAATTTTATTTCTAAATATGAATCTTACAATGATATAAATAAATACTAATCTCAATTGTGAGAAACGGGCAAGATTTCAATCAAATATTGAGGATCTACTGGAGCCCTGGTGGCCGTGGTTAAGAGTTCAGGCTGCTAACCAAAAGGTTGGCAGTTCGAATCCACCAGCTAAGCCTGTCTCTGTGGCGCAACCTGTTAACCGAAAGGTTGGTGGTTCCAGCCCACCCAGGGATGGAATGGTTGTTTAGTACGGAGCCCTGGTGGCACAGTGGTTAAGAGCTATGGTTGCTAACCAAAAGGTTGGCAG